AACAAAGTACAGACTGGGAATGTACTCCTTGAGGAAGCGGCCGACCGAGAAGAGAAACTGCAACAAGAAGTACAGACCTTGAAACAGGAGCTAAGCACCTACAAACGACAAATTCAAATGATGGACACTACTTCAACACTTGACAAAATCCTTGATTCTGGAAGAAAAACTTCTGCAAAATTCGGTTTGGGCTTCACCGGAAGCAACTCAAAAGAGAAAACAGTCTTGGTCAAGGCGTTTGGACCTGATCCAGAGGGTGTCCCTGAATCCAGCACAATGAAACGCACCCATGGTATAGTAAGACCAAATAAACTACATTATAAACTTTATAACCCCGTATGTCATTATTGCAGGTTACGAGGGCATACCAGACCTGAATGCTACTACTTTTACAAGGACCAAAGAATTGAGAAGTTCAGGCACAAGAAAATTCAGCCCTTTACGAAACAAATTTGGGTTAAAAAGACTGACTATATCTCGTTTGTTTCGTTTCACTCTAAAGGTGCAGGAAGAGAAGAGAAATGGTACCTTGACAGCGGGTGTTCCCGTCACATGACAGGAAATGCAAAATTTCTAAGTAACATAAATGCAAGCAAAGGTGAAGTTACCTTTGTTGACGGTATTAAAGGTCATGTCACTGGCATAGGCACGCTAAATGTAGCTGGCCTGCCAAATCTAGAAAAAGTATTGCTAGTCAGTAGACTTCACGCAAATCTCATTAGTATAAGTCAACTATGTGACCAAAACTGGAACGTGTACTTCACCAAAAATAACTGCAGTGTCCTGGACAAAACAAATCAATGCGTTATGGAAGGTAAAAGGTCAACTGACAATTGCTATATTCTAACTAACATATCTTCTGTTGCAGGACCAGCATAGATGAAGCTGAGCTATGGCACCAAAAACTGGGGCATCTGAGTTACAGACTACTTGTTAAACTAGTGAAGATAGAAGGTGTTCGTGGTTTACCCAAGCTGAAAGTCGAATCAACCATTTGTGGTGCCTGCCAAGCTGGGAAACAAACCAAATTATCTCATCCAGCTCAACATACCATAAACACGAGTCACTGCCTAGAACTGATCCACATGGATCTCATTTGTCCTACTCAAACAGAGAGTTTTGGAGGTAAGAAATACATACTGGTATGTGTTGATGATTTTTCACGTTTTTCGTGGGTAATCTTTCTCAGGGAAAAGTCCGAAGCACTTGAAGCGTTCAAAACCCTAGGACTAAAACTTCAAAAGGGCATATCGTGTATACAACAAAGTGATCAAGACCATCATGGAGTCTACAAATGTTGTAATTGATGATCAACCGAATGATATTGTTGAAGTTTCACAACCTAAGTCAGTGACAGAACCTGATGCAAACCGTTCTGAAACTCCTAATCCTAAAACTCTTAAACCAGATCCAGAATCACCCATGCCATCTGAACCTGACCCAGAACCAGAATCAGAATCTGACACTGATCAAGACGACATTGACATTCCAACACGCATCCACAATAGACCACCCATCTTCAAAATTAATTTTGCCATCATTGTTGGTGAGAAAGTATACAGGTTCATTACTCTCTAATTCCTTTTGTTAATTCCTTGAATGATTTTAGGGTGTCATTGTCTAATGTGTTTTGTGAAATACCTGCAAATTTTCCTATATCTAAAGCTGAGTTTTTATGTGTTCATTTACCTAATTTGGTGCCCTCTACTTCAATATCCTTGCATTCATCAAATCTTGAAATTCTTCATCTTTGTCAGTGTAATATTCCGCATTTGTGATAGAATCTGTTTCAGGATAAGAGAATTTATCTTTTGAATTAATGGTTCAGTTCCTACATGCTCTCACATTGCATCTATGTCTTTTTTGTGCGTGTGTCTCTCTATGATTGATTTTGTCCTCTATTTTATTTTTTTAATTTTCTCGCAATTAGTCCTTTTCGTTGCCTACTACTCTGTGTTTACGAAACTGCGGATTGATTCTTTGCATTTTGTTCTTGATTGTTTTCTATGTGTTTACTAACTGTTCTACTTGCGTTGTTTTGAGTGCTTTTGAACTGATAAACCTATTTTTGCTTAGGTTATTTTATTAGGTGTTTCTTGTGTTAAATCTTTGAATTCTCTATGGTTACTTGAATTAAATTTTGATGCAATCTGTTTAATATTTGTATTCTCCTGTGTTACTCTGTGTTATGTGTTTAGTCCGGTCATGACCGTATGTGTGTTTATTTGTATGTTTTCCCGTGTTATCTGGTATGAATCTGTGCCTAAATTAGATTTATATGAATCTGTGCCTAATGTTGCTTTAGTTGAATCTCTGACTGAATATGCTTTACCTGAATGTGATTACTGTCTTATTTACCAATCTGTCCTTTTGAGTGACCCAATTGTGTGCTTTTTGTGTTATTTGCTACGAATTTGTGCTTGAATACGTTTGTTACTTGGTATGTTTTATCTACTTAATCTGCTCCAACTTGACTTGTGCGTATATGTTATTTGTTAAAATTGTTTTGATAAAATTGTTCGAATTTTGGTTTGGTATGTTCTGGTTGTCTTTGTTGGAATAAAGGGGTAAGTAATAAAGGGGGAGTAGTAGTTAATATGGTTTATGTATTGGCTTGACTATGACTGCTGCATATGGTATTCTTTTTGGTACTACTACTCTTATGGTAATATTCTTTTTGTAAATCTCTGGCTATTATATCAGTCTCCGGTTATGAAGTTTATGGTTATTAATCTCTCACCAAGTATAAAGCCTTTATTTGGCTATATGATGGCTATACGATGCATTGGATTCTCTTACTGGAATTTCTCAGATTTTGGATTATCTCGTTTGGCTATAGTTTTATTTGGCTCATCATAATCTCTGGGGTCTCATTTTATAATCATCATCATATTTGGATTATTCTTGGATTATCTACTTGATGAGATTATTTATGAGGAATATTTTGGATGGGATTGATTATAAGGCTTTATCCTCTTGGTAGATGATATTTGATACTGATCAATATGATGCAAGATTGGATATGAGGGAAAATGATAAACTAAGCCAGCACGTACGTATGAGGGCTGATACTGGCGCTACTACCAATGAAACTGATGATGCTGACGACGACTCAGTTTCGGGCACCCCGTCTGCACGGTAAACCTAATCCATTGTTATGATGTTCACCTTTCTTTGTCATTTATTTGACAAAAAGGGGGAGTTTTTGGAGTAAGAGGGAGTATTCTTAGTGTATGGATGTTTTTGGAAGTTTTTAAGGTATATTTATTTTTGGTATCTTCTTTGGAAATAAAAGGCACTAAGTTAGGGGGAGTAGTAGAAATTATGGCATGGATAGATGATGGCATATGTATGGTATGTATGTTTTGAGCTACTACTCGCATGAACAAGCTTTATGGTAAAATCTTCTACTGAATTATGTTATGTCAACTGCTTTTTCGTTACTACTGTGTCTGGTCTACTCGTGGTTGTGGTTGGATAATTGAAGCACCCTACACAGGTATATTGTTGACTCATATGGTCCAAAAGGAAATTTAGGTTTATTATTTTTTATTACCTTTTGTCTTGTTCAGTACCTATACTAAGGGCTCTTAATAAAAACTAAATTGATTATACTTTCATTTTTTGCCCAAAGTATTTGATACTTGAGTTTTACCAAATAAAATGCCAAAGGGGGAGATTGTAAGTGTATAATTATTGTATGTTAAACCTTATTGGCTATTTTATTTAATAGTGGTATTATTAATTTTATTAAGATATTAATTAGAGTTGTTAGAATTAATTTTCCTTTGGACCATGTGATGTTTAAATGAGTGGACAGTATCTATTGGTGAATGAAGTCAGCAAGCAGCGCATGAAGCTTTCAAGAAACAAAAGGATGTGGCTATGATTTATTCGGACAAAGAAAAAGGCTAAGATTAAGGATCAAAGATGAGGCTTAATACTTGCTATAAAAAGAAGCCACACCAAAGAGGAAAGTTGCCAATTTTGAATCTACAATTCTAAGTGCACACTTTCCTTACAAAGCTTCCTAATTTAATCTGTCATGTTATTTAATTGTTAAGAAGATTTAATCTGTAATACATGATCTGTACGTGGTACTGCTGAAGCATCTTGTGAAGATTGTTAAGGCATACGTGTATCGGTCCTGATAGGTGTTAGAAAGAGTGGTAGTGGTAAAGGCTAGAGGTCATATGTATTTACCTCTTGTAATACTCCTTTTGGGGAACATCTATAGTGGATTGGGCAGACGTGGGGTGCCCCGCAGACGTAGGAGAAGGAGTTCCGAACTGCGTAACAATTCTTTTGTGTTTTTACTTTATTTTATGCTTTCTGTCTTCATTATTTATATTTGTTTAAACAAGTTTAATTAATGAACGTAACTGGTGCATAACTTAAAAACAAGTAAATATACATTACTCTTTTATTTCAAGTCTCACGGTGCAATTTCAACTCTTCCCCATATTAGGAAGGCTCCATGCAGCTTCATCTTCAACATCACAAGAAGACCCCCTCCCTGTATGGCTGTATACAAAATAGCTTATTCCTACAGAAATATGTACAAACAATCACACAACAATATAGTGAATTTTAGGCTTGGCACTGTCCAAAAAGACCCGTGGTTTTCTTTTCGGTTTCCACGTACAAATCCTTATGTCCATTCTTATTTCTATCCGCTTTTTCTACTTGTTTTACTATTATTCTTTTCCGGTGAATCCACCAACTACTGATTGTGTTGGACATCTGTGGGCAGCCAAAAGTCCTAAAACCAACAACCCCTATTTGAAGGACTATCACTAGTAGAAGTTGATGCTTCTTATCACTTTTTATTTGGAATAATACGTAGTGGAACCTCCAATATCCTTAGCTTGGAGTTAAGGATAAGAGTGTAGTAGGAAAGTTTTCGAACCACTAATACGCTATTTGTTCAAAAATTTAGCTACTTTTTTTGTGGCAAGCTAAAGCTTTTTGCCGTGAGAAAATTAAACTTTTTTCCGAACTTTATTAAGCACTATAGATAAGATATCATTTATTAAGCTACAACATACAATGCAACATAGTAATAAGTTACATGTCTTTCACACCATTTTGGGTGGAGAGGAGGTGTACATTATCTACTCATGTGTAATAACTAACAAATTACATGACAGAATTATGTTACACCCAATCAACCGTCCTTTCAGGCACTTTCACATCATCATTTAACTGGTAAAACCCAAAAACAAAGAAAACAAAAAAAGCGTACACACACAAACATATACGAAAAACATAGTAAAATTTAAGCGGTAGGGTAAGAAGCCTCCATGGCAATACCACAAACTCCCCGAGCATTAATCCCTCTGGCCATCCTCATATAACCATTCTCACCCCAACCGGTTCCCCATGAATTTTTCGCCAACCAATACTCCATCCCGTCATCGCTCGTCCCGTACCCAATGATCGTCATAGCATGGCGGAAACCGGACCCACAATCGCCGGCGCCGTCGTTGCCGGAGAAAATCCCGCTGTTGCTGGCGTAGTACTGGAACATTCCTCCGTCGTGGGTCAGTATCACTGAGACAGGCTGGTATGTAACGGCGGCGAGGAGAGCAGATTCGCCGGAAGCCACCTCTTGGTAGCCTGTAATGGTGGCGGCCGAGTTGCCGGAGTTTTGTGCGTTGCAACTTTGCTGAACAGCCTGGTAGGGATAGTCTGAGTCCATCACGAGGCCGCCGTTGTCCATTATGAATTGGAAGGCCCAGGTCATCCACCCGCCTCTGCAGCCGTAGTTTTTAAGGTTGCAGTCGAGGAGTTGCTGTTCGGATAAGCGCATTAGTTGGCCTGTTCTGATTTGGGTTATTCCTTCCATAGCCGCCACCGCAGAAAATGCCCAGCAACAACCTAGTCCATTCAAAATGTAAATACACTAATGAGCCAATTGTTATATCTTGGACCAGGGTTTACTCTGTATGTGTTTACAGTTAACATATTATGGGGTACTGGTTGGTAATAATTGTTAGTTGTTTGAATTAATGTGTTTGACTGGTTGATAGTATTAGTTGATGGTAGAAAAGCATTTTGGTAAATTAACTGTTTGCTGAACTGATTACATGCAAAATGACTTTCTAAAAAAACTGATAGAAAAAGTTAATTTGAGAAGCTTTTAGAATCTTAGCATTTTGGAGCAATAAACACTGAAAGTTAATTAATCAAACACTCATATATTGATGGTTTAACCAAGTCAAACAGCTAATAATGGTTAAATAAATCAAAATTGGCTGATAAATCTATGTTACCAAACAGGGTCATTATGTATCTTAAATTTATTTAGGGAAAATTGTAAAAAATGCCCCTCTATAATATGTCAATTATCAATGTCACCCCTGAATTATGAGTGGTGTAAATGTTACCCCTCAATTATCAAAACGGTGCACATATAGCCCCTCCCGTAACTGACATGTGGTTCCCCGTTAGTGTACGACACCATTAAGTCGAAGTAAATATGTAATTTAGTTGTTTTTTCCCTCCCTCGATTCAAAGTACCAGCAATGGACAGCGATGGGGAACCACATATTCGCTACGGGAGGGGCTATATGTGCACCATTTTGATAATAGAGGGGCAACATTTACACCACTCATAGTTCAGGGGTGACATTGATAATTGACATATTATAGAGGGGCATTTTTTACAATTTTCCCATTTATTTATAGATTCCTAATATGTTAACTGCAAACACATAATTTAAATGTTGTAATGCTCTATCGGGTCGGGGTGTGGGGGGCCCTTAGGGTTAGGGTTCAGCCTTTTGGAAGAATAATTTAAATGTTGTTTTAAATCACGATCCACAATGTAAGGTGGACTCTGGTCCATGATATAATTTTCTCTAATGAGTCTACATTTAATCAATTAAAATCACATGTTAGAACTTAGAAGTATATATATATATATATATATATATATATATATATATATATATATATATATATATATATACTATCCAAAAGTATATCTTAAAATAATAATAATAATAAGAAGCAAAATTGAAAGTCTAGTGTTTAATAGTTACCGCAGTATCCTTGATTTTTTATATCAGTCACAGCACCCTTCTCTCTCCAGTCCAAATACTCTGGAACTTCAGCCAAACTCTCATTCAGCAAGGATGCTGGTTTTGAAGGCCTAGGGCGTGGGGGTGCCTTTCCTTCATTAAGCATGGTGGCCTTAAACTCTTCGTTAGTTAAATCGCTAAACTTATTGACACCAAGTTTATAAGATTGATTGCCAGCTTTGTTAAATGACTCAATGAACTTCACGTTTTGCTCAAATATCTTGAATCGTTTTGCCTTTTCTGCATCATTTTTGTATGAGCGCCCATGGTGAACCATCCACTTTTCATGGCGCTCGAGCATAGAAGGTTCTTCGTCGAGGGCAGTGGCTTGAGATGCAAACGCCCCCAACAGGAGAACTGCTGCAAGAATCAATTGGAAATCAAAGTTGGAGGCCATGGAAGATAGTATGTTTGTGGTATGGAATGAGTATAGTGATATGTTTAGATTAATGGGGATGAGAAGACTATGAATGTATTAGCTATTTATAGGACAAAAATTGGGATATATACATATATAATTAGGGTTTCCTTGACTGGGACTATATTTTTATTTATTTATTAAATATAATTATTATATAATTAATAAATTTTTGTTATAAAACATTAAACAAATACTCATATCGTTAAATAAATTTTTTTTTTTTATACAAATAATTGGTGGTCATAGGTTGTATGGTAGTTGGCTACTTGGCTACTTGGCTGATAGGTGTTTAGTTAATCTTTTCTAACATTCCAAAAAAATTGTTAATGTACATCACATCAACTTTTTCCTTTCTCCTTGGAGAATATAATTACTTTAATTTTCTTTTAAGTTATTTAAGTTTACCTTCCATTATAACTACTTCTTTTTTATTTTTATTTTATTTTTCTTTATTATTATTATTATTATTATTATTATTATTTTATTTATTTATTTATTTTTTGCCTTCACTCTCTACACAAAAAAATAAATGAATGAAAATTGATGGATCTCAATTTACTTCCCAGTAGGTCACTCATCTCATATTATAAGTCAAGCGCGCTTGGTGATTAGTAGGTGAACATTAAGCATTTAACCACATCCCTCCATCGCAAGCCACAGCGTCACGGTTCGATAGTAGGATAGATGTTGTACTCAGTCCTCCAAGCCTCAGTCCCAACAAAAAATAGAGGTACACTTTTATGTCGAGGGGAGACACTATTTTATTTTATTTTTTAATTTTAATTTTAGTAAATTAACAAATTATATTTATATATAGGATTTTAATTAAAAGGTGTGTAGAGAGAGAGATAGATGGAGAGCTAGGATTTTAAAAAAGTGTGATAACATTTTTGTAAATAAGTAAAAGTTTGAATAAATAAATGATGCATATTTTGACTGAAAATTGTATGCTTAGACTGTGATTATTTAGTCTGAAATAATAGGATAAAACACCATACATATTTATTAGTCTTCCGATCCCAATCCATTCATGCGTATTTAGGCCAAAATAATGTGAGTTTGAGAACCATGATTCCTTGAGAATTAGGAACGTGCAACGAGTAATAGTTTGAGAACCATGATTCCCTAGTGCTGTGGTTTGATTTTAAAAAACAAAGAAAAATAAACAAAAAACAAAAACAAAAAGTGAATAACAAAATTTCATGTGATGTTTCTTTGGAAAAATGTACAAATAGGCCATTAAACTATTTGGGTCAAAAAAAAAAAAAAAAAGCAATTAGTATTTTTAGCAGGTTACTAACATTTTTTTGTGTTGTTCTTGTACAGTACTTCAATGATTTGCCTCACTTGTTTGAGGATGTCCTGCCGGAACATCCCGGCGGAGGGCACGGGTTTTGACAGCGGAGACAGGTACATGTCGGCGTTGAATGTTACGGTTGCCTCGGTGGTTTTACCGATCCCAGCTTCATTCAGTGCCTTCTGCAAGTTCGCAAGCGCTGTATATGTGACATTGAATAATCCTAGTTTCAGGTATAACTTGAGAAGACGATTGTCTGGTTGCCTTCTCCAGTGGAAGACGACCAGACGGTCGGAATTCGATGACTGTCGTCGAATTTTTTTTAATTCAAAGAATCGTCAAAATTTTTGTCGAAATTTTTACCGGAATTTTGATGACTGACTATTTCATGTATATTACCGGTAATCAGGTTTGGATGCACTAAAATGATAAGTTTAAGAGTTTTATTGCACCTTTTTAAAGTTAAAAAGCCTAATTACAATTTCAAATAAAGTTTAAAGGTGTATTTAACCATTGTTTCTATTTTAAATATTCAATTTATGTGAGATGACTAATCTTGAAAGAAGTAATCCTCACAGTTTTGTTCGCTAGGGATTCCCGGAAGACCAAAACCTCCGCATATTTGACTAAACTTTTTTTTGTTTTGTTTTAGGATGGCAACTGAGTTGTCGCATTTGCTTGACTCCTTAGTCTTCTAGATACTAAACAATTGAAGTGGTCCAAATCGCCAAAACTAATTTGGCACTATTTGATACGTCCTCTCTCCCCGGAATTGCCACTCACATCTTTATGAATATAATAATTTAGTCTAAATATAAATATCATTAGTCTTTATTCTTTGAAAAAATTTCGTCGTACATTCCTCTATAATAATAACGAATTTTTTATGCTCATTGCGCAATTGAGATAATGCCTAATATTTTTTTTTTTTAAATAACTACTTTAAAGGATATCAAGACAATATTATATTGAAATTGTTCATGCATAGATAATTGAATGTTAAATTTGTGTAATTAAATAGGTAATTCTAAGTTTACAAATGCAAGATAAAAAAGTCAAGATTGATTATAATTGTTAATAAAATAATTGTATAGGTATGGTTGAAACCAAATACGAGACATAAGGGAGAGCAAATAAAAATTAAGACATAAAATATTAAATATATACTAATATTGAAGAGCTAACTACTGATTGCCAAACAAGAATATTCCGAGATGGTTTTTCACTTCAATTTGTTGTGTGATTTGAATATTCTTGACTCCTTAATCTTCTATATACTAAACGATTGAAGTGGTCCAAATCGCCAAAATTAATTTGGCACTGTTTGATAAGTCTAAAGGTAAATATCATTAGTCTTTATCCTTTGAGAAAATTTCGTCGTACATTCATTTATAAATTATAATTGTGTCAATAATAATAATAATAATAATAATAATAATAATAATAATAATAATAATAATAATAATAATAATAATAATAATAATAATAATAATAATAATGTTGTTTTTGTTGTTGTTAAACTAAGCTTATTTTTAAAATATATACCTGAAATTAAAAAAAAAAAAACTTGAGAATAATTTAATAAACAAAATAATATATTCATGACGTTTAATGTTATTTTATACCAGTTAATTTACTATACACTTTCTTACAAAATGTCATTATTATCAGTTGGTTAAAGTAATTAATATAATCACGTAACTAATAGTACTCCACCATCGCACGTCGGACACACTGGATTGTAGGCACCTCTTTTAGGTGGGACAGCTAATCTAGAGATTTAAGGGTGAATGAGTCCCCTTCCACTCAACCACACCGTCCAAGTTCGTTTTTAACTATTAATATAACTAGTATTTGCCCCGTGCGATATGATGCACAGACAAAAATTTATAGGTATTGTTGTAATGTTATAATGTTATGATACTACGTAGAATTAGTTTGATTAAAAATGTAAGTATAACTATACAATGTAATATTTAATATCTTTAAAAGTTTAAGTATGTTGTTATTATGTTGATTTTAAAGTTTATTGTTACTTATATTATTATTTGAATTTGAAATCGCTAATTTAATTATATAGCAAACGTATTTAAATAAAATTTAAAAATAAAATAACAGACAATATTTGTCGAAAATCTCAACAAAAAATTTATTCATTTGAAAAAAATTATTTATGTAAGAATTATGTTTATTTTATATCTAATTTCTTCTTTTTATATATGTGGAGCCAAATTAATTATAAATGAGATTTAAATGAATATATACACAAACTAAATTAAATATAAAACTTTACCAATAAATGTGAACACAATAAATGCATTCACATGGGGCAAATTATGTTGTGCAACTGTGTGCACCATGCATGGTGCACACGGGTCTAGATTCATAATTTTTGTACTGTAGATTCATAATTTCTATACTGTAGATTCATAATTTTATAAATATATGTTCATAATTATAGAGTTATATGTTCATAATTTTCGATGTTCATACTCTCAATTGTTGAACTCTGTATTCAAAAATCACATAACTATATGTTCATAATTTCTATACTCTAAAAATTTTATAAATTTATTTCTTCATTATTTTTTGTATCTTTCCAATAGGAGACACTAATAAGCAAAAGCACAATTGACGAAAACACTAATAAGCAAAAGCACAATTGACTATTATGTTTTGAGCATTATTATTTTTCTTGTAATATCATTTAGTAAAAAGTGATATTGTCTTTAAATTAATAATACGCTATTTTTATGACAATGAAATTAGAACTTTTAATGAATTACAATATATAAATTTACATAATATCTATGAAAATATATGATATTTCTTAAAAGCTTTTAAAGAAAATTGAAATATAAATAATATTAATAGAAATCAATGAAAGCGATGCCTAGGATAATTGTCTTAACAAAAATAAATGTTTAAATTTAAATCTTAAAATTGATATTGTCTTTATTAAATTTAAAGTATACTTTGTTTTTGTGACAACCAAATATAAAGATCTTTAAAAATATATAATATTATAAAATTTATTGTAATAAAATTATAAATAACAAGCATCAATATAGATCAGCAAAAATATGTATGGGTAATTGTACCCAATTTAGAGTTTAAATTATTTTTATAGACTTTTCAAAATAAAAAAGTTTGTAAACGTCAATAAAAGGTTATAAGTGTTTGTGATATAAAACTTTTATAGATTCGAACGACCAAAGTTTTATAAAAGTCTAGAAAGATTTTTATGAAAATTTTTAAAAGTCTATAAACACTACTGGAAATTATGGAATTTCGACCACCTAAAAGTGATCTTAAATCAAGTCGATTGCCTTGTTCCGACCACTTTTGATATCCGGAAAAACCTTTGTTGCTATTTCCGACCACTTTTTGGACTTTTTGGTATCAATTTAATTTAAGATCATTTTCAGGTGGTCAGAAATTCCATAATTTCCAGTAGTGAAATATTAATCAATTTGAAAGTCTATAAAAGCCTACAAAAGTCAAGATTGAATACATCTCCTAAGGAATATATATATATATATATATATATATATATATATATATATATATATATATATATTAATTTTAATTATAATTATATTTATTTAAAGTTACAATTAATCTTATTAATTAATACTTGTAATAAAAATAATATGACTAATATAATCTTATTTAAAAAGTCAGATATTTGGATGAGATTAATTAGGAAAGTTAAAAACATAACACGTGTGTGCATATGGAGCATAATGTTGTGTGCA